TTAAGGAGGAAGAGATAGAGAGGAAAAGGTAGAGAGAGAGAGAGAGTGAATACGGAGAGGGGAGTGAAAAGTAGAAAGGTAGAAAGGCAAACAGAGAGAATGAAAAGTAAAGTGAAAAGAAGAGGTAGCTGAATGAAAAGGGGTAAAGAGGAAGAATAAAAAGGTGATGAGAGAAGGGGGAGAGAGAGAGAGAGAGAGAAAGAGGGGATAAGAAAAGCAAAGAGGAGTGTCGAATATGGAAAACAAGAATAGAGAAATAGAGAGAAAGACGAATAAAGTGAGAAGAAGAAAAGAGAGAGATATGAACAGGAAGGAAGAAATAGAAAACAAATGGAGGAGTAAAGAGAGAAAAAAGGATAGGTAAAGAAGAGAGAGAGAGAGAGAGAGAGAGAGAGAGAGAGAGACTACGAAAAGGAAAGATAAAAAGAGAGATGGAAGAGAAAGAAAAAGAAAACAAGAATGACAAATAGCGAGAAAGAAAGGAAAAGAGGAAGTAGGAACGATATAAATAGAAAGAAAGAAAGAAAGAAAGAAAGAAAGAAAAAGGTAGAGGATGAGAAAGAGGGAGAAAGAAGAAGAAGAGAGGGTGAGATAAATACAGTGTAACCCGGATATAAGAGACCCGGATATAAGAGAAACCCGGATATAAGAGAGATTTTCTCTGGTCCTAAATTAGAGCCCATACTTACCTAGACAAAATAGACCAAACCCGGATATAAGAGAAACTCGGATATAAGAGACTTCTCCGGTCCCGACAACTCTCTTATATCCGGGTTACACTGTAGTAAGACAAAAAAGAAATGAATAAGAAAGCGAGATAAACAAATAAAAAAGGAAAGACAAAGTGGTGTGACAATGAGAGAGAGAGAGAGAGAGAGAGAGAGAGAGAGAGAGAGAGAGAGAGAGGCGGAGGCGAGAAATAGAAAAGGGGAAAATAATGGAGGGAGAAATAAACGAAGAACGGGAAAAGAAAACAAAATATGGGAGATTTGAATCGAGAAAAGAGAAAAGAACGAGGAAAAACTACAAAAGAGAAAGAAAGAAATAAGGAAAAGACAGACAAAATGGATATGTAGGAAGTGATAAAAAGAGGAGGGCAGAGAAAGAAAGAAAGAAAAAAGAAAGAAGAAATAGAAAAACAAAAACAAAATGACAACACCTTAAAAAAAAAAAAAATCCCCAAAACCTTAAATTTGTGGTTATTTTCTGACGAATTTTCTCCCTTGATAATTATTTGATAAAATTGTTTTATTTTATATTCCATCAAAATTAAATCACAACGTTAAATTATTTCAAATCAACGCGTATGCATACGCCACATTCCAACCGCCATTGTTCCCGTTGACAATTACGTCATGAACGCGCATGCGTGTTTATTATTACAGTAACACACTGCGTTATACCGTTCATTTTTGTCGCTAGTGCATATATTAGCGAAGACTTTGTCGCCTATAATTAAGTCAGTTCCACGTGTAAAGTAACAGCACACACACGCACACAGATATAACGATAGATACATAGATAAATGGGGCATCTTGACATGGTGTAATGGTTAGCAGACTTGTCTGGCTAAATTACGACTGAGAAGTGGGTTCTATCCTCACTGGGTGCTCCATACATTTGGCCTTGTGCCACATCTAAACAAGGATTAGAAAATCATCATAAATAGATAGATGGAGAGAAATAGAGAGACAGAGGGAAAGATGTGCGGACATTGGAACGAACACTGTTTCACGTTACAATGTGATCTTCAGGCCAAGTGTCATTTAGTGGGCTGTATATAAAGCGAGTTTTGTGCGTGGGTCACGAGGGAGTTACGAGAAGTGAGAGAAGATGGAATCTGTCATTGCCAGTTTCTTTTTTTCAATGCTGAGGGTTATTTAAGGCCATGACCTCTAGATATCTTATTTATGCTGATCGGGGAGGGTGGAGGATGTATGTATGTAAATAGGCTAGGTTCACGGACACATACACACACAATATATATATATATATATATATATATATATATATATATATATATATATATATATATACCTGGTGCTAAAAAGCAAAATTGTCCAAATCGTGGAACAGCAAAATTGTCAAATAATTAGATTAAGCTGTGAACCGTTGTATCCCAGAAATGATTAAAGATATCTTACTGGAATTCTCCGAGATTTTTATAACACTGTTGGACTCTAGTTTGAGCAATAAGAATGTATAATTACTCTCTATGCTTAACAGAAGAATCGTGATGAAATCGATCATAAGAGAAAATGACATGTTTCATCATTAATTAATCATTAATTAAGGATCGGAAACTCATGAAGGATTAAAATAAAGTTCAAATATATGTATATATATATTATTTCAGGATCATTTTCCAACATATTTAAGATGATCTTTGCTATCTCTAACATTCTTACTTTCTGTCCTGGAGTAACAAAGTGCCTCACAGGTTTCACGTATGATTTCATTTTCAAGTCTTTTCACTGGTCTTTGGACTGTCATAGCTGAAACTCCTCTCTCACGTGCCAAATATTTTACGGATTGAGTTGGATCTTTTCTAATTGATCTCTTTAGCACTAACTTGAAATGATGATCCCTCTTCCTGTTGTGACCACCTGATCCAGTTTTCCTCTCTACTTTTCTCTATTTTTAAAACTTATTCACCGTTCTCTTGATGGTTCTTGAATGGATTTGAAGATGGAATCCAGAGTATGAATGTTGGTATCATTACTAAAGTCCTGAATAATCTTTTTCCTCTCATCATTGCTCAGTTGGGAAGACAGTGAGTCTGACACAAAACTTGTTCTCTTTCTAGCTGAATAACTCAAAGGTTTTTCAGTGATTTTTACGACAAATGGTGTCACGATGGCTAAACGTCTTATCTGAAAACCTGGAAAAGGAAAGTCAATTAGTGTAGTGTTTATTTTTTTTAGGCATAAAACATTTTGTGGGATGGACAATTATGATGTAACCCGATTTGGTTAATTTTGCTGTTACACCCGGTATATATATATATATATATATATATATATATGTATATGCAAATTTCGTTGAAAACGACTGACAAGGTGCTGTGATTGATTTTTTACATATAATTTCTCATGTGTTCGTATAATTTTTTTCTTTTTAGGACATAAATTATATAAAAATTGTTTCCCAAGCGGTTTCGGCTATACTTTTAGCCGTTATCATGGATGAATTTTATTTTATTTTCAACTGAATTTATGCATTATCTCATTTAAATACACATGGAGACATACCAAACTCTATCCATAACATACGTTGATAATACAAATATAATAGCATCATCCACATGTATAAAAAGGCTAAAATAAAGGACGCCTTATTAATAAAAAAAGCCAACACTGAATAATATCAACTATGAACACGGCCACAATGTGCTGACCGTGTTTGGAAAATAACACATTCCTGTAGGTACAACATAAATAAACGTGTAATATGTTTCATGTAACATCTAACGTGTTACATGTAACAGGGGAAATGGTAACATAATCGAGATGTTCAGTTTCCACACTTCTTTATGTGCAGTATGACATCAGGATGTAGGCGATTATGGCTCTTCACTATCTCCTTTTCTTCATAGCTATTCAAAATTTTCTCTTTTTGTTATTTCTCCTAAACCTTGTTTCGCCATCCATTTAATCAAACTCACTAAGTATGTTAGGCGTTGTTTTCCTTTGTCCCTTTTGCCTTCAATTTGTCCTGTGAGCATCAGATTTTCCAAGCCCACTTTCCTCACACTACCTTAAACAAAAGACACGAAGGGAAACTCCCGCCACTAGTAGAAAGAACTTTAGGGTTCCAGTAGTTGTTCAAGGCGCCTCCTTAGATTTGATACAGTGGTTTAAATATTCAGTTATATATATATATATATATATATATATATATATATATATATATATATATATATATATATATATCATACTTATTATAAAACCCAGGGTTGTGTGTGTGTGTGTGTGTACGTTTATATATTGGATCGGATTTCCTACATTTTTCAACCGACTTCAACAAAACTCCACAGGACTACGTAAAATTACCTTGCGGTGGTTCTGACAGCGCCAAAAATTGGAAAAACACAATTGTTTTTGCACGAAATCAATTTGAAAACACGATTAAGAGGCATCACGAGAATGAAAGGGGGACAACTCATATCGAGTTATACTTATTATAAAACCCAGGTTGTTTGTGTGTGTGTGTGTGTGTGTGTGTGTTCGTTTATATATGGGATCGAATTTCTATATTTTTCAACCGATTTCAACAAAACTTCAGTTTTTTTTGGCAGGTAGTGTTTCTTATTGTCTTGCACACTTTTTTCTTTATTTTTACGTTCAGAATGCTTTAAAAATTCCATTTACAAGACAATTGTTTATAATAAAATTCTATTCAATCGGTAGACTCATAACGGTTGAAAACAATGTTTTTGTTTGAGTTTGGGTTTGACCAATTCGTAAAAAAAACAAACAAAAAAAATAATTAAGACATGCATGTCCGTCAACCTTAAACAATAATCTTTGTCAATTTTATTTTTCAGTCTTTATGATGGTCGATACTTGATCTATCTCTTACTGTTACATCCCCGGGCAACGCCGGGCTCTACTGCTAGTATATATATATTTTACAGTAAGATTCGCGCTGTACAAGGCCTCGGGGTCACTAGTTAAGAGGTAGTTTATATGCATAATGATAACGGTTAACTCTAGACTTGAACAGGTTAAGATTGTAGTGATATAGGGAAACATCCTCTTGGGAGACTGTTCCCTAGGGTTCGCAGAAAGATGCTGTTTGAGTGGAACTTACTTCTTGCCGATGGAATACAGAGGGAATGAGGGTGGTTTGTTACTATGTGAGTGGAATGGCTGGTCCTCGCCGTCACGGTTAGACCTATCGGAACCAAGGAATGTAGTTCGGCTGAGCACTTTCCATGGAATTAGCTTGCGAGAGAGAGGTTGGAGGGTGGAAAATAATTCTTTTTCAACAAAGACTCAGAGACGATTTTGAAATTTATCAAAACAGGAGAGTGAGGACTGGGCAGCTTCCGCTCAAATATGGCAACAGTACTCCATTTTCGGCAGGATCTGGCTCTTATAAAGGTAGAGGATAGAATGAGAAGTCAGGTACATACTAAGAACAGACCACAACCCAAGCGAGAAATTGGAGATATCAAAATAAAGACAAGCGTTACAACACCTCGACGTGTACATCTTTTAACTAGACAGCAGGATCTCTCCCTCCCTCAACTGGGAGACGTTGCAGCCACGAAAGGAAAACATCTACATTGTAACACGATTAAGACTCGACTCCTTGAAAACCCTTTTTCTATCTATCATTCCCACGCTAGCTCAGCCAATCACAATCGACTTCTTTATTTTGTCTTGTATCTGACCTCAAAGGTCAAACTGAGGAAGTCATAGCAGAAATATACTTCTCTAAAAAATAATAGTCTGTTAAATTATTATTTAACAATTGTAGTGATTTGGGAACATCCTCGTGGGAGTCTGTCCCACAGAGGAGCAATGGTTTGCGGGAAGAAGCTGTTTGAGTGGAATATGGAGGGAATGTGTGCAGCTTGCTACTATGTATGTGACATGATGGCGCCTAGCCTCGAAGGTTAGACCCGGTGGAACCAAGGAATGTAGAGAACATTCTATGGAAGTAACGATAGAAAAGTGAGAGGCTAGCCACATCCAGCTTGTGAGGGAGAAATTGGGAGAGTGGAAAATAATTCTTCATCAACAAGGACGGTTTTGAACTCTATCAAAACTGCAAAGTGAGGTCTGGGCAGTTCACGCTTAAATATAGTGCAGTACTCGATTTTCGGCCTGATCTGTCTCTTATAAAGACAGAGGATACCATGAGGGGTCGGTACAGAGAGCCGGTCATTTTACGTGCGTCTTTAGCGATGGGTCGTATATAAGAGTTCCACTTGAGATCCGGTGTGTGTTTGAGGCGCAATATTCTCTCAAGGCATGGTGCCTTCTTGAGGGGACATCCGTTCATTGTGACTGGCG